GAAAGCCACCTGTCACCAAGACCCCCACAGTTCAGCCATTTCAATGCAGGTGTGTAGACCTGCATTAAATATATACAGCCCAATGTCGGAGAGGTGGACCCCATCATCCCTATACAGACCAGGGAGTCCATCTTCCAACTCTGCATGCCAAATGAAAAACCTGAAAAGGAAGCCAAACGTTTTTCAGCTGCCCTGATAAGCCTTTTCCTAACCTTTTCAAGCAGACGTAGGGTATTTGATTCCATCCATCTTAAACGTGGGATAACATCAGAAAACATCACCACCATTTGGGGGGAAGAGAGCTGAAACCTGGCTATGTCATTTTAGCAAACAAACTGGGCATATATCAGGATTCTTGCACAAGCACCATATGAAAATCCTAACCCCACTATTACTGACAATGTCCGCAAACTGTAGGCCGGATACCTTATATCTATTAGCTGGAATCAACTCAGAAATCATAAGGGAAGCGAAGAAAGCCACAGAAACAAGGTAGCTTTGAAAGCTGACCAACAAGTATTATGTGGCTTTACAAAGCTCCAAGAAAAAATCAGGGGTGACCGGCCTGTAACTGTCTTTATTAAACCTGTCTCTTTTTACAACCCTTTAGAGCTTGTTTTACAGTTAAAAAAAAAAAAAAAAACTAAAGCAAGAGGGTAAGTTATTCAATTTAAAGAAAAAAGGAATTTCTAAAATAATTTTATTAACATGTGCCCATGATTAACCCTTTTCAAACAGTGAGTTCAAGGACAAGAAAACACTAGACCTTCCGAAAATGAGTTTTGAACTACACCAAAAGAATTTAAAAAGGAAATCCACAACCACCAGGCAGATTGATATCCCACCATGGTAGCGGGAGTTCTGTACATTTTTAAAAACCTGGTTTAAATGAGTTTCCATAAATGAGCTGGACAATCTTAACCCTTCTGGATCCGTGTCTGGTAACAAGCTAAAACGATCTTTCTGGATGCTAGAACGCATCCGCCATGCCATTAGTTTTGCCTGGTATATGCTTGGCCGTGATCCAAATGTTCAAGCATTTAAAGATTAAATATCTTAAACTAATGGCTGGTGGAGACTTTGGGGTTAAACAATTTATTGCATAAACTACACCCTTGTTATCTGTGCTAAAGAGAATGCATCTGTTTTTAAAACACATACCCCAGATCTCAGTTTCCAGAAGTATCGGGAACATTTCCAGAAGAACTATGTTCCGTAAATAACCTTTATACTGCCAGGCAGGATTCCAGAGCTCTGCACGCCAGTGTGTCTTCCAGATAACAGCAAAGCCAAAAGAACCCACTGAGTCTGTATAAAGGCAGAAGTCCCTATTCTAGATAAAATCTTGTTGCCAAACCGATCTCCCATTAAAAAGTTCTAGAAATTGATACTAAACCATTAAATCCTCTTGCATGTCGTGTGTCATGTGGACATTTGCTGTAGGGGACTTTTGACTAGAAATATATATAAAGTATAAAATATAAAGTATATCCTGCTAGAAAGTATCCTCCCTGTAGGCATTACCCTTGTCGCAAAGGCCAAAAGTCCCAAAAGAGACTGAACTTCTTTTAATGTAATTTTTTTCTTCCTAATAAAATAATAAGGGAGCTTTTTAAGCCTATTAATTTTTTCTTCCGGAATTCTAAACCCTGTTAGGGGTGTCAATAATGATCCGTAAAAATTCAACATACTTATGGAGAAACATTTTTTTTCCTGTGCTAAGGGGATACTGACATAAAGGATTGCAATAGATTTAAACAGTCTGACTTAGCAGGAGGGCCTAAAAACAAAAATCATCCAGGTAATGTATAAGAAATTTTGAACCTAAGACTCAGGATATCACCCATTCTAACAAGGAAGAGAAGGACTCAAAATAGAAACATGAGCAGCCCATAGCCAGGCACTTTTCAAAATAAAAATAACCGTCAAAGAAAAAACCTAGAGAATTGACGCAAGAGGGATTAATGGGTAAAAGTCTGAAAGCAGATTTTATGTCTAACAAAGATCCAGAACCTAGGATTTTGAGCAGAACTAAAGTGTCCTTAAATGACATTCAAGAGACCGATGACATGTTTTACTGGATCTGATCATTAAGAGAACCACTCCTCGGAAGTTATTGGTGGGGAATTAATAAGAATTGGAATCATTTTTAGATACTAACCCCAGGTGGGAAATTCTAAAATTATGAAAAGGAGGGATGTGTTCCAAACCTGTGACCAATTTAAGATTCTGGAAAAATCACTTCCATGAAATTTTGGTAATACAATCCTTCATGAAACCCTTTAACTAGAAGTAGAGCAATCTGCTTGTCTGGGTACTCCCGGAGCAAAGGCAGCATTGCATGCAATTTCACCTGGGTTAGTGCCTGTGTCAATAGCTTCTCTTCCCTACTGTTGATTTGCGGCAGATAATTTCCCAAATCATTTTGATACTGGGTCTGCTCCTGCACAAAAGTGCACATTAGTGCCTATATTTATAGGTATTTGGCCATTTACATTGTGTGTGTCATTAAAGTTGAAGCATATCCCTTTTTTTTTTTTAAAAACTGTGGTGAGTCCTGAGTTTGAGGGTGTTGTTTGTCTGGCATACTGCTGTCTCTGGGGGAGAAAAAGATTTAGCCAGAGGCCAACATCCCAAGCTCCCCAATGTAAAGAAGAATGTATTGCAAATTTTTGATTAAAAGATTCTTCATACGCAAACCACGTAGCAACTCCAAAAAAATGTTTTATGCCTCCAGTACTAAATAAATATGCTGAATAAGACCCAGACTCTTCTCCAGATATTTCTCCCACATTACGCTTGAAAATATACAGAAGGCCTGCAACCGGTTGTTAAAAGATTTGGTTACTGGCCTTCTCCTATCCTCAGATTTGTCATCCTTTCTGTCAGTCCTATGGATGAATTTCTTTGCATAAGGGATAAACGATAATACATCGACAAATTCCCCCCACCAAATCTTCTCCTTTAGGCTAGCAGAAGGGTGAAAACCAAGCGCAGGCAAACTCCAAGGTAAAGCATCTTGAAGCCATGTTTCGTGAACATTCTGACTTTGTTGGACTCTGTACCTGAAGATGTCTGTAGGACAGAAGAAATAATATTCTAACAGTTAGTGGAAGTGCCACAAGATGGTGCCCACACTATAGCCAAAGAATTTTCAACAGCTGCGTCAACAGTACAGTTTTCATTCTGGACAGGGGGAATAGGAACATTAACAATTGTACTAGACTAACAGTGTTTCTAGCTGTATCAAGTTCCCTAACTGTTCTAACTAAAACTTCAGTAAATAAAGGAAACTGTTGTGGAGGAAACTCACCAGCACCATTTAAATTCGGACGAGGTCCTGCATGCTGATCCACTGAAGGGCAGATTACTGGGATTCATCTCCCGGCATCTTGCTGTCCGCACTCCGGGTGTTCTAACTTTCCCATTGGTGATCTTCTGGTTTGACCTCTGCTTCCATTAGGCGTCCCGTGACTCCCAGGCAGCACCTCTTGCATTTGGACCTGTCTTCTTGCAGAAAACACATCCCCAGCCTGCTCCCAGCTATTCTGCGCCTGGAGGAACTCCTGGCACCATTTGCAGAGACTGTGTGGGGTGGTGAGGGGATGTACCACTTGCTCCAGGAGTACTGCCTCTTTGACAGCCCCCCGGGCTGGAAGGGAAATGACGGGGAGCCTCCCCTGCATCGCTGACCTGGATCTTCAACCACCAGATGACCTTGCTCTTCTTCCAGATGTGACCTGGGGTTCCAATCCACTTCCTCTTCAATCGACGATGCAGCTCTGGTGGTGGAGATGACTGGCTCAGTGATGGTGATGGAGGCTGAGGTGGTGGCAGCTCCTCTGGCTGGTTCTTGACACAGAGACTGCGGTAAGTCCAGGTGTCCCCATCTTCCTCACCGGCTCTCTCGATGAGTCACCTCAGGAGCGATGCTATTCTTCAGGCCTTCTTTTTATAGCCCTGTACCTGATTTACAGAAGGTTTTTCTGGAAGGGAGACCAGATTTGCAGAAGGGAGGCTTGAAACTGCGCTGCCACAGTCCCCCCTTCATTCCAAAGCACTTCAAAATCTTGTTTGCTTTTAACGTTCGATTTTGGAATGTATTTAATTTGTTTTGTTTTTTTGTTTTTTTTGAGAAATATTTTCCATCCTGCACCTTCAAATTTTGCTTGTCACTGTGGTCGAAAACATGTTGATTTGACCCCAATAACCTTTAGAAAATCAAGCAAACATCCTTAACAAACTTTCCAATGAAATTCTACCACTGTATAGCCAGCTTTACAATGACGTAGCTGAACAAAGCGGCATTAGGGTCAGAATAATATACAAGATTCAAGGCAACAAGTTTAAGAAATCAAACTGATCTAAGAAGCATTATACCTGGGCATCTAATTTAAATGTAGCCATGCTTACATCTGTACAGTTTAACTCATGAGAAACTGCAGAGAGTGGTGCTTGGAACTAAGGAATGCATCCTACATTTTTACTTTCTTAAGTTCAGGGCCATTCAGAAAATGAAGCTAAAAAAGTGGTGAGTGGGACATCCAGAGTAATTCCCTGAATAATATATACAGTGAGGAACATAAGTATTTGAACACTCTCTGATTTTGCAAGTTCTCTCACTTAGAAATCATGGAGGGGTCTGAAATTCACATTGTAGGTGCATTCCCACTCTGAGAGACAGAATTAAAAAAAAAAAAAGTTCAGGAAATCACATTGTATGATTTTTAAAGAATTTATTTGTCTTGCACTGCTGAACATAAGAATTTGAACACCTGAGAAAAACAGTGTTAATATTTGGTACAGAAGCCTTTGTTTGCAATTACAGAGGTCAAACGTTTCCTGTAGTTCTTGACCAGGTTTGCATACACTGCAACTTGGATTTTGGCCCATTCCTCCACACAGATCTCTAGAGATCTACATATGGTATAATTCTGCTCAGTTTCTCCAGAGACCTGTATTTTGTTTTGGTGTTCCTCACCTCTCCCATTTTCTTACAGATGTACTTCAGAAAAGTCGTGATATGTTAGTTGATGAATTAAACCGGTGCCATCAACTGGGCCTTACATTATACAACATCCACCCTGGATCCCATTTGGGAGAAATGTCTGTAAACAAGTGCCTGGAGCTCATTTCTGATGGTATTAACCATGCACACTCACAAGTGCCTGACATCACAGTAGGTAAGTAATAAGACGGCAGGTGTTAGATGGTATAGTCTTGTATGTGTCTCACTCCTAGCCCACAGTCCTACAGTTAAAGTAGATGTGAAAACCCAACTAATTAAATCTCTTAAAATCTTTAACATGTTAACGTTTTTTTAATAGTAATTTTTAGTCCCTTTAAAGCAGAACTAAACCCTCCACTTAATGGTGAAAGAAGCTGCCATCTTAGCCTCTGTTTGATCTGCAGTTATCATAGTGCTGCACCTGTGATATGCTATGACACCAGCTATTTAATGGCTTAAAAAGTTTGGTTGAGAGCACACGCAACTATGTCAAGTATCATCTCTATCATGCCTTTAAAGTAGTTCTAAAGGCTTATTGTCTTTTATCTTCATGTATTCTATTCTCCAATCTTTACCTGAGCCCCCTTCGATCCAGAAACGTTCTCGACAGCCTCTGCTGTCTAAGGACTCTTTCTCCTCATTGGCTGAGACAGCAGCGGGAGCCCATTGGTTCCCACTGCTGGCAATCACATCCAGTGAGCCAATGAGCAGAGAGCAGGGGGTGGGGCCTAGCTGCGGCTTTATGTGCCTTTATAGACACATAGAGCAGCGGCTTGGGGATGAGCATGCAGCGGTGCCCCCAGGGCGATCGACTTTCCCTGGGGACATTGCTTACGGGGGGAGGAGCCAGGATCACTGGCAGGGACCCGAAAAGAACAGCTGGTAAGCATAGACGTTTCTTATTTAAAAAAAAAAAACCCCACAAAGCTTTAGTGTCACTTTAGAGTACAGCTATTGGCAAAATTTTTTTTTTTTCTTTTTCATTTTTGATAAAGTAAGGGAGGATTACAACCCCTGTCAGTTTTGTTTCACCATCTGTGTCCCATTGTGGAGATGATTTCGCTTCACTTTCTGTCCCATTGCCAAAACAGAAAGTTAGATTAAATCCCTGCAAATTAACCCCCAAGTCACCAGAACTAGTGTTCCCATTTGAGATTTCCCCCCTTTTACATTTCTGGGGACAATCCCAAAATTTGGGATTTTCTGTCACTTTCAGTGATAATGGTAAACAGGACAAGTAGAGAGAGTGAATCTTCTTAACGGGGATACAGACAGCAATGAACACTAAAAAACGTTCAAACCCATCTCCACACGCGCGCGTGTGTGTGTGTGATTTTGCAGTTCCGAGTAGGGGGCGTACTTGAGCCATTGGCATGCCCTACCCGTGCCGCCATTGGCATGCTCACCTGTCGAATAAACAATACAGATCTCTCCCCTGTCAGCAATACAAAGCAATGTGTTTACATACAGTCAGGTCCATAAATATTGGGACATCGACACAATTCTAACATTTTTGGCTCTATACACCACCACAATGGATTTGATGCATGCTCGGATAAGGGTCTGGAATGGATTTTTGGGGGGACCCCCATGCCATTTGTTTTTTAATTTTGGCGTAGGAGTTGCCGTCAAAATCCATACCTGACCCAAAGGGCTTGGTATGGATGGGAGGGGGGACTCCATGCTGTTTATTTTTTTAATTGCCGACAATTCTTTTCCATTCAGCTGGCAGTGGGGAACCCGGCTGACAGCTCAAACATTAACACATGGTTGTCACTACTAAAATACCGCATGACTTGATAAAACAACTCATGCAGTATTTTAGTAGCGTTTACTTTTTGCTGACCTCGGGAATGGATTAATTGGTTTTCAACGCATTCCTTTAGGAAACAGCGTTTCGGTTTACAAATTTTTCGCTATACAAAAAGTCCCGCAGAACAAATTAAATTCGTAAACCGAGGTATGCCTCTATTAATGTACAGTCAGGTCCATAAATATTGGGACATCGACACAATTCTAAAATTTTTGGCTCTATACACCACCACAATGGATTTGAAATGAAACAAGATGTTCTTTAACTGCAGACTGTCAGCTTTAATTTGAGGGTATTTACAACCAAATCAGGTGAACGGTGTAGGAATTACAACAGTTTGCATATGTGCCTCCCACTTGTTAAGGGACCAAAAGTAATGGGCAGAATAATAATCATAAATCAAACTTTCGCTTTTTAATACTTGGTTGCAAATCCTTTGCAGTCAATTACAGCCTGAAGTCTGGAACGTGTCGTAGACAACACCAGACGCTGGGTTTCATCCCTGGTGATGCTCTGCCAGGCCTCTACTGCAACTGTCTTCAGTTCCTGCTTGTTCTTGGGGCATTTTCCCTTCAGTTTTGTCTTTAGCAAGTGAAATGCATGCTCAATCGGATTCAGGTCAGGTGATTGACTTGGCCATTGCATAACATTCCACTTCTTTCCCTTAAACTCTTTGGTTGCTTTTGCAGTATGCTTTGGGTCATTGTCCATCTGCACTGTGAAGCGGCATCCAATGAGTTCTGAAGCATTTGGCTGTATATGAGCAGATAATATTGCTCGAAACACTTCAGAATTCATCCTGCTGCTTTTGTCAGCAGTCACATCATCAATAAATACAAGAGAACCAGTTCCATTGGCAGCCATACATGCCCACGCCATGACACTACCACCACCATGCTTCACTGATGAGGTGGTATGCTTAGGATCATGAGCAGTTCCTTTCCTTCTCCATACTCTTCTCTTCCCATCACTCTAGTACAAGTTGATCTTGGTCTCATCTGTCCATTGGATGTTGTTCCAGAACTGTGAAGGCTTTTTTAGATGTCGTTTGGCAAACTCTAATCTGGCCTTCCTGTTTTTGAGGCTCACCAATGGTTTACATCTTGAGGTGAACCCTCTGTATTCACTCTGGTGAAGTCTTCTCTTGATTGTTGACTTTGACACACATACACCTACCTCCTGGAGAGTGTTCTTGATCTGGCCAACTGTTGTGAAGGGTGTTTTCTTCACCAGGGAAAGAATTCTTCGGTCATCCACCACAGTTGTCTTCCGGGTCTTTTGGTGTTGCTGAGCTGACCGGTGCGTTCCTTCTTTTTAAGAATGTTCCAAACAGTTGTTTTGGCCACGCCTAATGTTTTTGCTATCTCTCTGATGGGTTTGTTTAGTTTTTTCAGCCTAATGATGGCTTGCTTCACTGATAGTGACAGCTCTTTGGATCTCATCTTGAGAGTTGACAGCAACAGATTCCAAATGCAAATAGCACACTTGAAATGAACTCTGGACCTTTTATCTGCTCATTGTAATTGGGATAATGAGGGAATAACGCACACCTGGCCATGGAACAGCTGAGAAGCCAATTGTCCCATTACTTTTGGTCCCTTAACAAGTGAGAGGCACATATGCAAACTGTTGTAATTCCTACACCGTTCACCTGATTTGGATGTAAATAACCTCAAGTTAAAGCTGACCGTCTGCAGTTAAAGCACATCTTGTTCGTTTCATTTCAAATCCATTGTGGTGGTGTATAGAGCCAAAAATGTTAGGATTGTGTCGACGTCCCAATATTTATGGACCTGACTGTAGTAAAGCACGCGCACAGTAAAAACACCACACGGCATACAGTTAACCCTTTGATCGCCCCAGATGTTAACCCCTTCCTGCCCAGTATCATTAGTACAGTGTCAGTGCTTTTTATTAGCACTGATCACTGTATTGGTGTCACTGGGGATGTGACAGTCAGTTCCAGAATGCCTGCTACAGTCCCCACTATAAGTCGCTGATTGCCGCCAGTATAAAAAAAAAAAAATTCCAGTATCTATACCGCCATTTGTAGACGCTATAATTTTCCCATAAACCAATTAATTTTCACGTATTGGGATTTTTTTTTAGCAAAGACATGTAGCAGAATAAATTTTGGCTTAAATTTATGACGAAATTAGATTTTTCACATTTTTATACTGAACATGTTTAATAGCAAAAAAGTCAAAAATATTGTTTTTTTTTTTTCCTCAAGATTGTTGTTTTTGTTTTTTTTTTTGTTTTTTTATAGCGGCAAAAAAAAAAAAAAAAAACGCAGAGATCATATACCACAAAAAGAAAGCTGTATTTGTGGGGACATCAATTTCATTTGGGTGCAGCGTTGCATGACTGCGCAATTGTCAGTTAAAATAACGCAGCGCCGTATTGCAAAAGAATGGCCTGGAAGGGGGGTAAATCCTTTGGAGGGCAAGTGGTTAATTTGCAGGGTTTTGGCTATGGGACAGTAAGTGAAAAGAAATCTCTGCAATGGGACACAGATGGCAGAACAAGAATCTGACAATGGTTATAACCCTCCCTTTCTCTATCCAAAATGAAAAACAAGGTTTTGCCTATAGTTCTACTTTAAGGCTTGAAGTGCATGTAAACTCCTAACAGTGAACCTCTGTTAAATAGAACATTAAAAGTATTTATGTATTTCTACGTTAAGTGCAAAAATCTTTTAATCTGATGTTTTGCGATCTCTGTCTGTGCTGACAGTTATCAGTTAGCACTTTTCCAAGCTGTTTCTAAGGACTATAAGACACTTCCCCCCCCCCCCCCCCCCCCATGTTATGAAAATGAGGATAAGGAGGGGTAATCTGTAGTTTAAAACACTTTCTGTTCTAGGGTGACAAAGCTGTAGACTACAGATACATTACAATGAGTGAGCGTTAACAGCCTCGTGGGTATGCCTGAAAAAGCTGAGGGTAGGAGCCCTTTCGATTTTATTGAGTCTTGGCTTTCTAATACCTTTGGAAAAGATAACCTAACGGCATTTCTCTGTGGAAAGAGCACACAGGTTCCTCCTCTAGCTCCGCCAGATTTTTGATTCGCCTACTACGGCGTCCAACTGGTTGGATCACAATAAGCGGAGTCTCCGTCCAGAACCCATCTGATTAATCCATCGGTTGGTACCAATAAATCTTCTTGAACATGATCTCTCATTTTGCCTACATTGGAGCTCGAAAAGAAAGAATTGACAGCTTCTACTCATCATTATGGATGCTTACATGGCTAACTGTCTGGCACCGTTGGCGATAGCCCTTGTTTTCACCCCTCTCTCAACCCTGCGGGGGGTTCTTGAGCCCAACCAGCTGAGTCCTGGAATGGGCCTTGACTTTTTT